GTGTTGTCTGATTTCATGTCACAAAACAGGCCATAGCAGCTTGTGCTGACAATATATATATGCATGGGATGGTGCCACTCTTTGTGACACAAGATCAGGCAATCATAGTACAAAATGAACTGGGTTGTGTTTCAGATTGCTTTGTGTAGGAGGCAATCCATCTAGATGAAAGAAAGCTCGGATTTAAAACCCCCAGACCCCACCTTTGGGCAATACATGTAGTGACTACATGATCATTAGAGCTTGGAAATTAGGTTAAATTCTTAAAGAAAAGCGACTCATTTTTGGTATGTGCATGAGGTATAATTTACATGTATATAAATTAATATTGTGCCCAAATTATCTAACTAATAGCTATGACTATGTGTAAAGCTATTCTGTAAAGCTATACTGTAAAGCTGCTAACATGCACTCAATGACATTTTCAGTATTCTGGATTATTTTCATTACTTTGTGAAGAGTTTATTTTCTTTGATTTATATACATTTTTGATTTGTCTTCATGTGATAAAATAAGAACCTGAAATGTTAGCCTAAAACAAATTCTTATTTTAGCGTGTCTAAAATAAAAAAATTTAGCCTAACAGGTTCTTAAATTATAGGTTCTTATATGCAAGCTTTTAGTCACAATTAGGGTGAAAAAATATACTAGTAATTATTAGTTGAGTTTGTTTACATCATATATAAGTTTCTGTGATCAAAATGTTTTATAATAAAACTAAATGTTAGCTGAGCTAATTTAATTTAATTTTTAAACGTCAATTTTTAAACCTTATAGCAAAGTGTGTTTATAGATAATCGAACTACGAATCAAATTTTATAATCGCTGACTTTTTAACAGCTATCAGCACCAAACATTCTTACTTTTTCTGAATTAACGTCGGCAAAAATTTGCCGACCTGGGAGGTTGATAGGTCGGCATTTAGGTCGGCATTGCCAAATGCCGATCTCGTTTTCGAGGGCTGTGCTTTGATTAAAATATACTTTGATCAGAGAAACTTTTTATGTTTCTATTAAGTGAGCACAAGTTGTCCATGAAAAGACAGTCAAAGACTGTAAAGCACGGTCAAGAAGATGAATTTATATCATTTATCACTCTGACAATAATATATAAACAGCCATCCAAAACATGTTGACTCCAAATTGCTCATTAACACTTTTTCATTGACAACTCCTACTCACAAGTATCATATCTTTAGGCCTTAATTATATGGGTTTCAGTTTGTAAATAAAAGAGATAGAACAGTTCGTATAAAATAGTAAATAAAGAGAATTTTATAGTCATTAATTAAAACCTCGATTGATGGACTTCAACAAGCAATTTCACTGAATGATCCACAGTGAAGGGAGTGAATAGCAGCTATGTTGGGTGAAATGTCCTTGGATTCTTTTCTTGAAAACCTTTAGTAGAAGCTTGAGGATGTAGGTATATCATGGGGAAACGCAGACAGAAATGGCACGCTCTCCATCGCGGAAAACAATAAAATAGATACACTTTGATACACTTTGGAAGCATCCCTGCTAGCGTGGTATTTTTTCCTACTCGTCATGTTGCCTCAAAAACTCGTTATTTGACGGATTGTCGCTCAAAAAAGCTCAATATATTTTGGAAACTTCTAGCTTCACTCCTTCGCTTGCGAAAAAAAACAACGCGCGTGCTATGCCAGAAATGAGACTGGACCGAGTACAAACCGAGTTTACCAACTTCCGGTGGAGTCCCCAGGCAAAAACAATCACAGACATGCGCAGAAGGGACTGTAACCTACCTTTAAGAAAAAGATATCTTGGGATTAAAAAATTTCTTATTTCAAGAAAATTTTTTCTTACTAAGAAAATTATTTTCTTATTTTAAGATTTTTTTTCTTAAATTAAGAAATTTTTTTCTTAATAAGAAAATGATTTTTTGCTGTGCATTGGAGCCATTCTTAAAATGGCAAAATAAATAGATCTTAAATAGCTTTTTAATCCATATTCATAGAAAGTTTGTTCAAAATAGCTATAAAATAGCTATTTTTAAACTATATTTGCTTTTATTTTTAGAGCTATTGTTAAAATAGTTATTAATAAATAGGAAAATAAATAAATTTTAAATAGCTATTTAAAATTCCTATTTATAGAAAGTTGTGGCGAGACTTTGTTCAAAATAGCTAGTAAATAGCTATTTTTAAACTATGTTCACTTTTATTTTTAGAGCTATTGTTAAAATAGCTAATAAATAGCAAAATCAACAGATTTAAATAGCTTTTTAATTCCTATTCATACAAAGTTGTGGCGAACTTTGTTCAAAATAGCTATTAACTAGCTATTTTTAAACTATGTTCACTTTTATTTTGAGAGCTATTGTTAAAATAGCTAATAAATAGCAAAATAATTAGATCTTATAGCTATGTTTATTTCCTATTTATACAAAGTTGTGAGATTTGAGAAAGGGTAAATGTATTTATTCAACTGGTCAAAATTTCCCAGTTAATTTTAAAACTTTCATGAGTTCATTGAAATTATATTTATAAAAATAGTTATAGTCGTTGTGGAGGTAGGTATTTTGTCATTTTGACAAATTCTCACAATGAGCGCGGTTTGTTAGACTGGTGCCTAGTTTTCTTACAACACGCGCAAAGCTTCCTGGGATAGCGTCACAATTCACAACTGCCATATTTTAAAAAATTTTTGTTTTGAATTTTGGGCTCGAAATACAGAGCTTTTATTTAATTATTACCGAAGATGATGTCTTTTAACGAAGACTAAACATCAGCGATGACTGGGTAACATCCAGTAAGAATTTTGTTATGTTTTATATATAAATAGAGCAATTTTGAAAGGAAATATTCACTATCTTCATTCGTGAATTTTGAGCATTAGGCCGTTTGCCGTGACCCGATGTCGTTCACTTTCATTAAGCATGTCGTGGAACTGAAATATTTTCACGGTAACTAACAGTTTCGAACAGGCTGAATTCAAATCCGAAAAGTTGCCGCTCCGTAGACCCGCAGTTTTTTCACAAATTGCATTTGTATTTTCAGTTCTTCGACGAACAAAAATAAACACGCGCCATTTTGAAATTAAATAACATCACTCAGAGAATGCCGTTTTTAGCTCCCCAGTCTCCGATGCTCATGACCGAGTTAAGATTTAGAGCAATGTTATTCAATTTGCTGCAAAATAAACACGGTCACGTGGTTTTAAAAATGGCTAGTCAGAGTGATTTTCAGTTTATTTGCCAGTAAAATCGCTAAAGAATGAGAAATAAAAGTTTAAATTATTTATTTGGCAGAGAAAAGCAATAAAGTAGGCGTTCTCTGTGTATATTTTTTGAGTTTGTTCAAGGCTAATGGCCTATAGTATAGAAGAACAAACAAGTGATTAAGTGAACAACCATCACGATTTTATATTCAGGTTAGCTCTCAGACACATATAAGGAAAGGATTAATTAAGGCCTCACTGTTATTTTCAGGGAGTTAAAATAACTCCGGAAAAGGGGGTTAGCAAAAAAGGTTCAAAATAATCCGTTTTTGGGGGTTAGAAATAACTCCATTTCTGGGGTTAAAATGTAACTTCACTTTTGGGGTTAATCTAACTCTCATATTGGAGTTAAAATCTAACCCCTATTCAGGAGTTAAATCATTTGAACTCCAATTCAGGAGTTAAACCGGCACTCTTGAAGACTTTTCCTCATCTTTTTAATTATTTTACACATTTTTAATGTTATGAAAACCAAAACCATGAAAAAACATCACTCAGATTTCATAACATTAAAAATTGCGTAGAACTAATTAAAAAACGAGGTAAAATCTGCCAAGAGCGTCAGTTTACGCGGAACGCTTTCTAACGACGTAATGCAATTACTTCGTAAAACGGGGAAGTATCGCGAAACCTAGCAATCAGTCTAATTATACTAAGTCAACTGCTTCATCTATTACAAAACGTACGCGAGAAAGTTTTCGGTGAAATATATTTTATACCAACTTTAAACCATGCATCATTGACACATTAAGTTACTGTCAAATTTAAACAGTGTCCTCATACATTTGTCAAAGACAACAAGTACTATTACAATGTTAGAACTTCAGTAATTGTACAGTACAGTACCTTGAGCCTTTAGTCACATATGGTATCATCCTGATTATAGTAACAGACGAAGCAAGATATTTCCTAATCTTGCATGCAATTGAATTAATAATTTCATCTCAGTGAATTACTACTGAAATTAACTCATTAATGCCCAACATTTCTCCCTTGACAAGTAAATTTTCTTGTATATAGACACAGTAAACTGACAAAGTACTGTAGATCACATTAAGCCATATGCATTATAGCCTTATGGACTGTAATTTGCCCTGGATTATTGAAATTGAAAAGTAGGAATTATGTTGTTTGTTAGCCCATTACAGGCAAGGTGCTCTGTTTATTACTACCTGTGTGGCAATAATACTTGATTGCCTCACACCACAAATTTTACTTGTCAAAGAGAGGCAACTTTGGCATGTACAATGAGACAAGGATAGGGAAAAAACAAAGACTGTATTAAATTAATCAATATACAGTAGACCCCCTTGCTAAAGAAATAATGTTGCATGTAGGCAGCAAAGAAATAAAGTGCCTGTCATTACATTCGTCCAGAATCTGTTGATGGTGACCCTTTTTCGATGGTGATCCTTTCTTGATGAATTTATTTATACAGCATGACATAATTGACACTTATCGACATCAAACCAACTCAAGATCTTGATATAAGACAATCGGTTTCAAATGGCCAGTTATAGGCATCATCATGACCATATAATCCATATCCATGCTATGATTCTTTTCCTAGTGTCTTGGCATGCTAGTATCAACTTACAATATGAAATAATAAGCATTTACCACATGGCAAATGTGAAGCTTGTACTACGTCTAAGACACATTTTACTATTGGTTTTCTAAGTTGTGACTGGAGTATTCATAGCTGCAAAAACCTGGCAATGTCCATAGAGGAACTTATTTCATATTATAATATTTATATCAAACTAGTTTTTCATGGTTCTGAAATGGAATATGAAGAGGAAGCCATTGTCAGTTGCATTTGGGTCCTAAAATTCTTAACACCAAATAATTGTGAGACTGTACTGAGGGTCTCCCAGGGCTGGTTTTAGGAAACCAGAGAACAATGCATATTTTGCAATCAGAATTCAAAGAAAAAAAATGATAAAAAACAAGGGACCATAAAGTTGGGAAAACAAGGAAACATGGTGAAATCTTTGGGGGGGAAAAAGGAAAAATTTGCAAGTGAATACATATCCAGGCCCCATAAGATACCATAGCTTTATACTCTACAGTGAATAAAAATAATAGTTTTTCACCTTAATTATTTGAAGCTCGAGCCATCACTACCAAGAAAGCTATGACCAATTCTTCTTCTACTGAATAATATAAAAAACTTATATCAGATTCTAAAATATAAAACCTTCATCACGTTTCAAAGGTTGTCCTCTTTTGACTATAACACTACCTACAGTATATACTACCTACAGTATATACTAAAACTGTCTGTACAAGTGTAGGTAGTACCAATGTGAAAATGCTGTGCTGAGTGGTTATATTACTACCTTAAAAAATAAGCAGAAACTCGACGTTTCGAGCGAAGGCCCTTCATCAAGAGTTAGTCAAACTAATTCTTGATGAAGGGCCTTCGCTCGAAACGTCGAGTTTCTGCTTATTTTTTAAGGTAGTAGGCCTAATATAACCACTCAGCAGAGCATACCTACGGTATAACCTAATATGGTAGTAACCTGAGATATATAGCTCAGTTGGCTAGAGTACTGCACTGAAATAGCAGAGCCGCAGGTTTGATTTTTGCCAGACAACTATATCCCATTAAGCGCCAGCGCTCTCCCTTTGACGAGTAAAATCGTCTGGCGTTAGACAGAGTAAAATACTAAAGTAGGGCGCATCGCCACTCAATGGGTTAACTAGACACATGGGCTGATAGGCCAGTTAACCCATTAAGCGCCAGCGCTCTCCCCTTGACGAGTAAAATCATCTGGCGTTAGACAGAGTAAAATAATAAAGTAGCGTGCATCAGGGTGCATCGCCCCTGAATGGGTTAATTAGACACATGGGCAGATAGGGCAGTTAACTAGACACATGGGCAGATAGGCCAGTTAACCCATTAAGCGCCAGCGCTCTCCCCTTGATGAGTAAAATCGTCTGGCGTTAAACAGAATAAAATACAAAGGAGGGTGCATCGCCACTCAATGGGATATAGTTGCATTTTTTTTGTAGCTATTCCTGGTTAGGTCTAATAAATGTATATAAATTTCCACTTGATAATTGCCATCTACAAAACCCTTTAACTATATTATTCAATCAAGTGAGATGCTACTAAGAATCTTGATACTATATTGTGGTATAGCACTATAATACTGTACTGTACTGTACTGTACATGCTCCATTCTGTATTCTTGTTGTGGTGTTATATGCTTAGCCATGTGCTTCTATTTGCTCTGCAGTGCTAATTACTGTCTTGATCAGTGAGACATATTTATTAAATTATATCCAATATAAGACTGTTATAAGGCTTGTGATGTGTTGCACTAATGCTGTGCTATTTATTAACACTACAGTACATTGGCTGCCAATGGCTGCGTTGTGTTAAACACTTCATGGCCCATGGCGTCCTACTTTGGTATTTACTTTGTCTAATTCCAGACAATTTTACTTTTCAAGGGTGGTAATGCACACTAATGTGGATTAACCAGCTCAAACAATCACCTCAAACTCTATTGTGCTGCACTGAATTTTTATGTTTTAAACTCGGCTGTACTTCACTGTGCTACAGTAATCTTAACTATGCGAAATTGTGCTGTACTGTCCTTTGGTGCACTGTACTTTCAGGCATATTGTACTGTCATGTACTGCGTGATGCAAAATTGTACTATATACTTTGTTGTACTGAAATATAATGTATTTTGTGTTGTCATAGCTGTCATGTCTTCTTTTATCTAATAATAGTGGATTGTATTGTACTGTATGACAAGTACAATGTGTACAATTTGTACTTGCTATGTTTAAATTTAATATGATACAACACATCACCACAGAATAATAAAAATAAGTTGTAATAAAACACTGCGTCATTGAGCTGCTGTGACCAAAAATGTCACTCCTCTCATCTGAATATTTATATTAAACACGAAGTAAAATATGTTCACTTACCTGAAACATGAATAATGCAGTTCTCGGCTCCCTTCTGTATAATTTTCACTTTTTTTTTCTTGAGTGCAGTAGAAAGGAAAGCAATCTGAGCGAGTTAAAACTATTAAAAAGCCGAAAACACGACGCCATTTTGTTTGCCTTTTATAACAATTAACTCCAATAAATGGAGTTATATCTGAATAACTCCACCATCAAGAGTTAATTTTGCATACTAATTAGTTCGCCCGTATCCCCTTACTCCTCAATGAGAGTTACTTTAATTCCTGAAATGGGGTTAACGTAGCCCTAAAATTTTAACTCCACTAAAAAGCAGTAATAGGGGAGTAATTTTAACTCCCTGAAAATAACAGTGCAGTCTGCTTGAATACTCAGTAAAATTGTTCCATATCAACTTTGCTGTTTATGGGAATTATTGTTGGTCATAAGGTGTAAAGTAATTTATAGAAACTGTTATTCAAATATTGATTTATCACCCCATGAAATGTCAAGAAGGCCAACAAAACCATGAACATTTGCATAGTATAAATGATTATTATATCTGCATAACCTGCTGCTGACTTATTTATTCCATGCTTTATTGCATCTTCAAGATTTAGACTGTGCTAGAATATATACACACAAGAATATGTAATAGGATATACAAATAAGATTCTGCATGAATAGATTGAGTCTAAACTTGTATTAATTCCGTCCATTGCAAGGAAAGATGTTTGGCTGACATAGATCAGCCTGGTTTTGAGATCTACAGTAGCCGCTCATATAAGCAGCCCTAAATTAGAATATCTACCTACAATCCTGGAAAAAATTATTGTGGACAGTGTGCGCAAAAATACAAATACCTGCCTTGCCCAAACATACATGCAAAAACAGCATTTTTTACCATTGAAAAGCTTCTAGATCGGTTAGGTGAAAGCTATGTGACTGATGGGGGAGATGAACATGTGTATGTGAACAGTAATACTTTAATCGTTCACACCTGTAAGTGTCCACAGAAATTTTGCCATGATTGTAGGTGGAAGCAAAACTATGAGTTCAAAATATATTCAACAGCATTAATGTTTTGTTGCCCAATTTGACAAAGCAATACTTTATCTGTTGTTATGCTGGGTTTTTTCCAGCTTGACAGTAAACACGTTGTTTGTTTTGTTTTATAACCTGTTCGAAATAAGGAAAAATACATGAGTCCCAGGCAGCTCTGCTTGGATCTTAACCCTTTAAAGTAATTGCATTGCTCCCCAATGCACCCTACTTTATTAGTTTACTCGTCAAATGAAAAAGTGCTGGCGCTTATGCAATAGGTTAAACACCCAGGTCACTAACCTGGTGCTCTACTATGCAGTTGAGCTAAATGTGATCAATGACAGGCCGCGCTCAGATTTGTGTACTCTGCCCTGCATGGGGAAAGCCACTTACAAATAAAAAATATTTAATACAAGTGAGACCCAATCTATTCATGCAGAATCTTATTTGTATATCCTATATTTACATATTTTTGTGTGTATATATTCTTGCACAGTCTAAATCTTGAAGATGCAATAAAGCATGGGATAAATAAGTCAACAGCAGGTTATGCAGATATAATAATCATTTATACTATGCAAATGTTCATGGTTTTGTTGGCCTTCTTGACATTTCATGGGGTGATAAATCAATATTTGAATAACAGTTTCTATAAATTACTTTACACCTTATGACCAACAATAATTTCCATAAACAGCAAACTTGATATAGAAAAATTTTACTGTGAGTATTCAAGCTCTAGACTGGCCTTAATTAATCCTTTCCTTATATGTGTCTGAGAGCTACCCTGATCCAGTCTGGTGGTTGTTCACTTAATCACTTGTTTGTTCTTCTATAGGCCATTAGCCTTAAACAAACTCAAAAAATATACACAGAGAACACCTACCTTATTGATTTTCTCTGGCAAATAATAATTTAATCTTTTATTTCTCATTCCTTAGCGATTTTACTGGCAAATAAACTGAAAATCACTCTGACTAGCCATTTTTAAAACCACGTGACTGTGTTTGTTTTGCAGCAAATTGAATAACATTGCTCTAAATCTTAACTCGGTCATGAGCATCGGAGACTGGGGAGCAAAAACGGCATACTCTGAGTGATGTTATTTAATTTCAAATTGGCGCGTGTTTATTTTTGTTCGTCGAAGAACTGAAAATACAAATGCAATTTGTGGAAAAACTGCGGGTCTACGGAGCGGCAACTTTTCGGATTTGAATTCAGCGTTTTCGAAAATGTTAGTTACCGTGAAAATATTTCAGTTCCACGACATGCTTAATGAAAATCGTTTTCTAGGCATATTTTTCGGTCACGGCAAACGGCCTACATGTGTTCCGACTTAAAATTCAAATTTGCTGCGACAATATTTGAATTAAAACGATGCATATGATATAAATACCTTATAGTTTTATAGAAAGGCTTACATTTGACTCAGCCTTTATATTAAATGATGTTTATTGTGACGCCAGATAGTTTTCTTTGACCTTTGTGTATAGTGTGTATGACAGATTGCCAGATTAGTGTTTCTTCTATAAAATATAAATATAGCTTGGCATCTACTCAATTCTCGTATGCCTACCCAGGCATGTCCCAGCTAAACATGGTTTGAAAAAATTTATCGACTGGTTTCAAATAAACTGGTATACTTTCATAAGTTTCTAATTTATTCATATATAGGTGGGTCAGTTTAGAATGGATAAAAATATGAATTTGATGTGTTGTTGTCATGTGTGGCAAATTGATTATAGACGTGTCCCTAACGGAAACAGATAAAGTCCTTAGTTTACTTGTTCAAACTTATGAATACATTTAGTTACACCAGAGGTATGCATGATCTGCTTAATAATATAATTATAACAACCTTTGGGCTACAGTTTATATATATATTTTAGAGACACCCCGGCAAGGATTTTATTGTTTTTGGAATTACCCATTCCACTCCAATGAGCCCAATTTTCAGCACTTTGTTATTAAATGTTATCTTGCCTAATACCGGACAATTTTATTTGATAAGGGAAGTGTCTAGCTAGAGTGCTAGACTCTGCCCATGTTTTATGTTGACATATTTAGATCAATTAGATGCAATTTCCCTAACACTTCCTACTTAAATACTTTGATATTATTATTTAACTCTAACATTTCAATTCGTGGTAGACAATTTTACCTACTGACTGTGGCATGCTGGCCCATATCTTACCTATTAACACCTATAAAGGAGCAATTTCCTCTTATGTTACCTACTTGAAGTTCCTTGTAGGAAAACTTTGAAGTTCTTTGCTATCCAGCTGCATAAAGAATATATGTTAGATAGTTGAAAAATATCCAGCTAGATTCAGGGTATTATTCAAATATATAAATGTTTTTTTCTAACCTGTAAAGAAGGCCTGAACCTAACTGCTGCAGAGCTTCACCCTATTCTTCATGTTACATGATGTTCTTGCTTTTTTTCTGCCCAGTCCCCAGCCAAGTTACTGTATGTATATAATTAACTCTTTGGCTACTACAAAGACTGCTAAATAGGCTATGTCTACTATATTGAATATCTCGCTAACAGACTACAGATTTTTAACTCATTTATTCTTTATTGGCAGACCTCTACCCACTGACAAGTAAAATTGTCTGGCAATTATAGACCGGGTAAATACTAAAGTAGGTCTGTAATAGCCTCTGATGTTTCAGCACTTCTACACTTGTTTTCAATTTCTTCTACTAATTATAGTTTATTTAAAGACTATTTATACTATAGGTTTTAACTTTTTATTATCTATGTTTTAACTGTTTATAATATATTTTAAAAATATTTAAAGCCTATATGTATTTTGTATATACACTATTTAATAACTATTCTAACAGTATTAACGGAACATATTTCAACTATTTATTTAATATGTTATTACTATTAGTTAACTATTTTTGATCTATTAGGGCAATATTATATCCGCTATTTATTATCTATTTTTAACAAGCTGGGACATATTTTAACTATTTATTATCTATTTTTAAACTATATTATT